GTGAATAAAAATATAACATATGTTACGTAAGGCATAAAAGGAACAAAAGGCAAAAAAATAAGAAGAATGAAATAAGAGAACAGAAACGTACATGCATTAACATCTCCAAAAGTTTTGTCTTCTTTAAGGAAGTTGATGAAATCATCAACTTTGATCTTAAAGATGCGTGCAATGATATATGGTCTGTTTTGAATATCACGCTGACCAACAACATCCATGTATCTTCTATACTCAGGCCATTTAACATTACAAGTGAAAGTGATGAAATATTGTGGCTTACCATGAACCCTACATATGGATAGAGCGTCTTGATAGTGTTTATACATATACCTAGGCCCCCAACGAAAGTTGCAGGTAGAAATACACGCTTACCAATGACACGGCTGTCCGTATCGCCTTTGGACAAAGCATCATAAACACCGCCGATGTACTCTAAACACAATTGCTATTGATGGTGTTCAATAAAGTCAAGCCTAGATTGTTCAATGCAAGTATAGGCATCCACCAAATATATGAAGATCTCAGATCAAATGTATGAAGGTGAATTTTGGTGGTCTTGGTTTAGTTAACTTGATCCACAACATTTGAAACAACTGATGCACATCATTGGAACAACTCGTCTAAACTCAAGCAGTGATTCATGGTCATGTGAACTAGATTCAAATGGGCAGTTCTCAATTACAACATGTATAAGGAGGCTGATAAAGTCTGACAGTGGATCGGATGACAACTCCTTTCTGTGGCTTAAAGAAGTACATACAAAAGTTTTGTGTTTTGTTTGGCGGCCAGTTCAAAACCGTATCCCCTCTGCAACGACACTCAAGAATCGGGGAATTAATATAGCATCTAGTATGTGTGGTGAATGTAACTTAGAAGAGGAGACAGCTGACCACTTACTGTGTGTGTGTGTCCCTTTGCCAAAGATACTTGGGAATGTATATTCAGATGGTATGGCATTCCGATGCCCCTATTTGATAAGACAACTGAAGAACTGGAATTTGCGGCATCATGGGGGAATTGCCTAAAAAAGAAAAAGGGCTTTATAGGTATATGATATGGAAAGATTTGGTGTCTATGGAAAACGAGAAATGATAAAACCTTTAATCAATCAAGGATTACACCAACAAAGGTTACGGACATTGTTCAATCATCGGTGTTATTGTGGTTCAAACATAGGCACAATAAAAATGTATATAATTGGTTAGATTGGTGTTTTAATCCACTAATGTAAAGTAGAATAGGGGAGATTGATATATTATGTTGTGGTGAGATCTTGTTTCTTTCTCCCTCCTTTGTAATTAAGAGGCTGGATGTTCTTCTCCTTTTTTTCTTAATAAAAGTTTGCTCGTTCCAATATATTTTTTTTCTAAAAGCTTTTAAAAGTTGATGGCTCACAAATGATATTTTAGATATTTAATAAAAGAGTCAACCCATCTTTACCCTAACTATTATGCCAAAAATTGTATTTTCTTTTGCATTGAAAACTATTTGCTTCTTCTAGAGTCGTTCTAATTATTTTGATCGGTTTGCACAACATTATATATCTAAGTCTAATCAGTCGTTCTAGAGTCGTTCTAATTGATATTTTATTATTATTATTATTATTATTATTATTATTATTATTATTGGATATGATTGTAAGTCCAAACGAAATATATTCCGACAAAAAGATACCAAAAAATAACAAGTATCATTAATTTATTTTACTTATCTATGCATTGCAACTTCACGCTCATTATTTATCTTAATTTTTGTTTCCATTTTATATACACCATAAATAAGATTTGCTGGCAGCCCAATTTTAGTATCTGCATTGAATAAAGCGGTGTCGGTGTATTCTTACCTATTTTACAAAATAAATGCTAGACTCGATTTTCCAAAATGCCTTTTTTTTTATAGTATATATTTTCCATAATTAGCTAATTGATGACAACCATTCATGAAGTCAGATGAAAATTTTGTTGTAAATAGCTGGCGATCCATTGTTTTGATCGTCTATTGTTTACAATGAAAAATTGAAAATAGACCGTAATTATCTGTCTGTAACTCTTTGGACCTCTTGTGGTTTCTTTCTAGCGGGGTCTTCTATTAATATATCGGCCGTTTTCAAAAAAACCTACTATCTCTAACTCACTTCCAAACTCCATTTTTTCCTCATTTTTTCCGCCATTATCCTCCAACCTTACCCTATTTTCATCTCCATTTTTGGAGATATGAATAGTATTCCCATATATTTGGGGAATACTATTCATATCTCCAAATATACAGTTGAAATTTCGGTTGTCAATTTTAGTCCCTTTAATTTTTATTTTACACATTTTTAGTTTATTTTTGTCTACTATTTATAATTTAAATACAATATTTAGTATTTGTGATATCATGTTATATAGTAATTTATATTAATTAATCATAAATATAGAGTTTAATATTTATTTATTGAATTCATATAAAAAAAATTTAAATATATACTAAAGACTTGAAACACGGTAACATAATTTATAAAATTTATTAATCAAATATGATTGTGATCTTGATATATTTATTATAAATATAATCTTATTTATTTAATAATTATTTATAATAAAGTAATAATTAATTTAAATTTATCATATATAAACATTTTATTTATGATAATATAATTTGTAATATTTTTGTAGTGAAAAAATATAATATATATTTGTAGATAGATGTATTTAACAATATATATAAGGTATAAAAATGAAATATTCTAGGAATATATTTTTTGGGGTAAAAAATATGATAGAAAATGGAGTAGTGTTGGAGATAAAACACTATTTACACCATTTTTTATTCAATTTATGGGGGAAAAATGAAGATGGGTTGGAGATGGTCTAAGAAAAACCCAATGGCTACAGTACGAGTCTAGAATAGAAAACTACATGGTTCACTAATTATACTATTGGATGTCTAGAATAGAAAACTACATGGTTCACTAATTATACTATTGGATGTCTGTTTTCCAGTATACAATAGTCGAAAACGATTTTTTTTTTAAACTGCCAGACATCACTAGACATGAACTTTTACATCATTCTTCAATATTATGTAGCAACAATATGGAACATAGTGGAAAATAAAACATAACTTTTTTTTTGGTTTAGCCAAATTTCAAAAATGATTTTATCCAAATTTTTAACAGAATTTCAAACAATAACAATTATTAAAATTGATAAACGACTATAATCTTATTCGCTGTTATACCTTCGTTTTGGTATACAATACATCCAAAACAAAATTAAGATGAATGAGAAATTAATCTATAAAGTCAGGTAATTGCATGAATTTGGAAAGAGGTTAAGTGAGTTTTTGCCGTCTCATATGGGTAGAAGGAAAAAAGAAGTGTGCTTATAAGTAGAAACGCTTCTAAGTATTGTAAGACTTATGAAACTATTGTTGGTAATTTTAGTGTCATCAGACATTTTGTGTAATTGAAACTAGTATTTGAGCTAAGTGGCTTATTATTTGTACTCTATATTATATGTTTGGTGAATGCAGAATGCATGCATATATAAGATCGAATTGTAAGTCGGTACGGTATAATGACTAAGGTCAAGGGGTCGCGCCCCTTTGTGGGGTTCTAGGGGTAGGGCCCCTAGCGGGGTCCATGGGGCAGAGTCCCTGCTAGTGTAAAATCCGAATTCTAATGGGTGATTATAGTAAGATTGACAAATTTCGTTAGTTTTGGAAACCATTATTTAAGCTATTAAATCCATGATTCTCTTAACTAATTTAGAAGACGGAAACCCTAATCTGTCAAAGCATAAATACGGCTCTAAAACCTAACGGAACTCTTTCTCTCTCTCTCTCTCTCTCTAGACAATCTCAGAATTCTTTGGCAATTTGGCATACGTTTCTATACCCAGATTCGTGAGTGTCTTTTTGGATTATCCTAGACTGGATTTCCTTTGACCAATGTTGCAAAAATTGACCTTGGCGGCCGATTAATCGTTTGGCGGCCTTGAACCGATTACGATTAGGGCGCTTGGCGGAAATTGGTCAAAATCGGTCAAAGTCGGGCTAGGCGGTCATCGGCGGGAAATTTTTAAAAAAATCAAATTTTTTTGAAGCACACGAATCACCATCATTCCTTGTTTATAACTCTTGTGCCAAAGATTAATAAGGAACGTTATTGATGCACAACAATTAGTTTTTGTAGAGGGGATAAACACACTTGACCATTAATAACTAATGAGATATGTTCTTTGAGAAAAAAAGGCAAAAATTAAAAGAAGATTTTTTTATTGAAAGTTGAATTGGACAAGGCCTTCGGTTAATTAGGGTTATGTCGATTTTGTCATGACATAAATGAATTTCGAGATAAAATAGGGAAATGTTGAAATAGGGGGTGTTTGGATAAATTAGATTATAGCTTATTAACTTATTTGCGGTGGGAATAATCAATAAACAATAAACAAGGGGGAATATGCTTATTAAAATCAGTTTATTTAACTTATCCCTACCACAATAAGCTGATTTTTAAGGATTTCTATCCAAACACTTAAACTTAGCTTATTGCGGTGGGAATAAACAATAAGCAATAAGCAACAATTTTTTTCCTCTATCAAACACCCCCTCAATGAACAATTATGAAATTTCAAAAGTATACATTATTTCTTTATTGAAACTAACAAAAACATAGCAAAATGGAAAGTAATAGGATACAATAACTTAAAATATATATTATAAATAATAAAAAATATGTATACATTATATTATTATCACTGAATCTGCAGTGACTTGTTCCTTGCTCTGGTCATTTGGATAAAATGTTGTTAACATCCTAAAAAAATTACTCTTATCTAGTAAAACGTTATCTATTTTGCATTTGGCTTGAGTTGAGTAGTTGACTTTTAAATAACGTAAACGGAATTCAACTTCCGTTATTGTCGCCGATTCTTTATCTGTAAAACGTTAACTTAACCACACCCCTTTTAACTCACGTAGTTACGTGTGTATTTTCTTTGACCTCAAATCACACTCTCCTTCTCTCTCTAGACTTTCTATCTCTAGCTTTCCTTTGCTTTTCTATATCTCTCTAAAATAACGGCATATTCATCTCTCTCAAAAATTTGAGCTTTCTACGGAGACAGAATCCATTCATCAAAAGCAAGAAAAAACCCACATTGAATCTCTCTTCGTTTCTCGATTTTTTCCTTCAAAGATCCGAAGAAAAACACCCACATCATTAACTTACGTGAATCTTTTAATATTTCTCTCTCTAAAACACACACCCATTTCTCTCTTTCAATTTTCTTTGCCGGAAAAAATGGTTGTGAATGTGATCAAATGGAGACCATGGCCACCGCTTCTGTCAAAGAAATTCAAAGTGAAATTGGTGGTGAAGAAGATGGAGGGGGGAAACTGTGATCTTGTGCATGCGGACCCAGAGAAGGATAATCATAGGGCTGTGGAGATCAGATGGAAAGGACCCAAGATCACCTTGAGTTCTTTTAGGAGAACAGTCAAGAGAAATTTCACAAGGGAGGAGAAGGTTATTGAGCCAAACGGTGTCGTTCAATGGGATGAAGAATTCCATTCCATTTGCACCCTTTCTGGTTCTAAAGACAATGCCTATAACCCTTGGGAGATTGGTTTTACCGTTTTGAGTGTGAGTTTCTTGATTTCCCCCTTTTGTTTTCTTTAATTATTCTTAATCTTATATTTTAGGCTTAATATTATTTTATTTCGAACCCCTCTTCATGCGTCATGATTTAATTTCAGTTGGATTACATTGAATTGCAACTAGAATATTTGATTTGGTTCTAATTGGGAAATCTTCACACTTCTATTTTCCTATTGCCATGCTGTTTATTAACCGCGTATACATGCGCATACACTATATCTATGTTTGCATACACACATTGGGATTTGGGGGGAGGTAATTAGGGTTTGATTCTTCCTGTATGCGATGTTGAAGCAAATGCAATTTTCATTGCCCACAACTATTCTATTGCATTTTTTAATATGCTGTCTATTAAACGAACTTTTGGTATCCAATAGTGCCAAAAAGAGCTACATTCTTGCTTTGGATCTCAACCTGGTTATATTTTTCAAATAAATAGCTGTAAAATTCATACTGGTTTTCCTCTTTAACAAGAAAAAAAACTATACACAACTCTTTTATGGATCAAATGGAGTCCTTCAAATAAAATAACAAAGGGATGCAGATTATAATAATTTTTGATCATTTTTCTTAATGTTGATATCTTGTGCCATGGTAGTTTTTTGTGAAATTTCCAGTCTATATTTGAGATATTATTGGTACGTGATGTCGAAAGCCCTAGTTTACCTTGAGAACTCATTGGTCAACAAATGTCATTATGGGATTCATTGTTATAAAAATCTGTAAATACATTAACGGATGACGTAGGTAATAAATCCGCATTATACGTATCCTATTTTGTCGCGAGTTCAGTATAAGTAATTGTATGATTTTTTATGTGTATTTTAACTCTACTGACTAGATGATTTATTATGAAGTAAATGGATTTACTGCATATCAAAATACAGAAAATATAAGTAACATCCACTTTCCATTATTTGAAATCTTTATGAGATCTTGTTACTAAATGCAGTCTTTTTGGTATCTTATTGCTAAGAGTTTTATATGAATCTTATTTTTCTTTTTTCTTTTCAGGGATTAAACCCAGGACTGAAGAACAAGGTCCCTGTAATTGGAACAGCATCTTTAAATCTTGCTGAATTTGCTTCTGCTGCTGAAGAAAAAGATTTCGATCTCACCATTCCTCTCACCATTTCATGTGGAGCAACCGAGCCTCGCCCCTCTCTTCATGTATGTCACCTTTTACATTTTTAACATCAATATTTCCTGAAAGATTGAAAATTTCAAAGAAACTTTTGTGGGTTTGTAAAATCTTGAGGTTTGTTTGTTATGCAGATACAACTTAGTTTAATGGAGTTGAGAGGCGATCAAGAACCATCAGAAGCAACACAGAGTCAAAGTCAAACATCAGAAACTTCATCAGGAGAGAAAGACGAGCTTTCTGCACTCAAAGCAGGATTAAGAAAAGTCAAAATCTTTACAGAATACGTGTCAATCAGGAGAGGAAAGAAAACCTCCCGTGAAGATGATCAAGAAAGTAGAAGCGAAGAGGGTTATTACTCCTACCGATTTGATTCAGAATCACTTGAGGGATCTGAAGAAGGCGAATCAAATGAAGTCAAAGAAGAAGATGATGCTAATTTCAGAAAGTCATTCAGTTATGGCACATTAGCATATGCAAATTGTGCAGGAGGATCTCTTTATGAAGATGGTGTTTATTACAGCAACCGAAACCGTAAATCTGATCAAAACGATGATTCAGTTTCAACCGCTTCTGTTTCTGAAGCTTATGTTGTTCAGAATCCTAAAAGAAGCATTCTCCCATGGAAGAAACGAAAGCTTAACTTAAGATCACCAAAAACAAAAGGGGAGCCATTGTTGAAGAAAGCATATGCTGAAGAAGGTGGCGATGACATTGACTTTGACCGGCGCCAGCTCAGCTCAGAGGAATGGGTTAAGGCGAATCAATCTTTAAAATCTGAATTTGGTGATGATAGTTTTGCTGTTGGAAATTGGGAAGAAAGGGAGATAGTGAGTCGTGATAGGTCAATGAAGATTCGGGCAGATGTTTTCTTTGCTTCCATTGACCAAAGAAGTGAACGGGCAGCCGGAGAGAGTGCTTGCACCGCCCTTGTGGCGGTCATTGCTGACTGGTTCCAAACTAACCGCCACCTCATGCCGGTTAAATCCCAACTCGACTCACTGATTCGAGACGGGTCGTTAGAGTGGAGAAAATTATGTGAAAATGAAACTTATAGAATCCGGTTTCCCGATAAGCATTTTGATCTTGAAACGGTTCTTGAAGCCAATTTACGCCCCATGTCCGTGGTCCCCGGGAAGTCTTTTGTTGGTTTTTTCCACCCGGAAGAAGTCGTCGAGGGTAGTTTTGACTTTTTGCATGGGGCGATGTCTTTCGATGCTATGTGGGATGAGATCAGCTGTGAGTCGGAGCTTCATAACACGGGCGAAGAACCGCGGGTTTATATCGTGAGTTGGAATGATCATTTTTTTGTGTTGAAAGTTGACTCGGATGCGTATTATATTATTGATACTTTAGGAGAGAGGCTGTTTGAGGGGTGTAATCAAGCTTATATCTTGAAGTTTGATAAGAAGACTGTAATTTATGAGCTTTCGGAGTCTGATTCCGGTGATCAGATGCCGATGCCGGGTTCTGATGGGTCAACAACAACAGCAAGAAAGTCAATTACAGAAACTCTGGAAACGAAGATTCAGAGTGAAAATGTTGTTATTTGTGAGGGGAAAGAATCTTGCAAGGAGTATATTAAAAGCTTCTTGGCAGCCATTCCTATTAGAGAACTGCAAGCGGATATGAAGAGAGGTTTACTTTCTTCACCTCTTCATCACAGGCTACAGATTGAGTTTCATTACACCCGTTTACAACCACCACCACCACCACCACCTGACCCTGTCCCCGCCACTGCCATATCAGCAGTAGGAGGCAATGACTCAGCAAACACGGTTGCCACGTAGGATAGTTTTCACAATATGTGAATTTTAGGTTTTAAAGTTTAAACAAAGTTCTTGTTTTTTCTTGAACGTGTTCATAGCTTCTTTTTTTTTTTTTTTTTTTTTTTTTAATGTTAAGAATGTTGAATGGAAAGTGAAAGGTAATCCCAAGTGTGTAGTCTCAGTTTCCATCTTTGCAAATGAAGAAGATGTTGACTTTTTTGGTCAACTTTTTTTTGGTTCGAATTGTGTGGTTTGATTCCAAATTTCCAATTGTCCTGACTTAAACGGTTGATTCCAATTCCCATCTTGATGGTAATTGGTGTTTCTGAGGATTCTTCTACATTTCTGTTGATTGTTTTAGGTTTACCCCACGCTTGATTTCATTGGCCGAGATAAAGATTTTGACATTTGGTCAGCTTTTTCTTTTATCAAGTGTCTTGTCTTGATTTGAATCCACTTTCTAATTCATATTCCCAACTTGAGGTTAATTTGTGTTTCTGAGATTCTCCAATGGTGATGATTGCTTTATCATGTTTGTTCAAATGAAGATTTTGACTTTTTGTTGGACCTTTTTTGTGTTCCACTTCCAGTTCCACCAATGTGTAGTCTGATTCCAGTTGTCCTGATATGAACCCACTTTCTGATTCCAATTTCCAAGTTGAGACCAATTGGTGCTTGTAAGGATTCTGGTCTGCATTTGTGATGATTGTTTTGGTTTGCCTTGTGATTCATTTTTATGTCTTGTACTTCATGCATTGAAATTTATACCTTTATAAGGTAAATATCTTTCACAGATATGATAGAATCTTTTAGGCCGTTTTGACTTTTGACGGTATATTTGGCTTTGTTTGAAATACAATGAGCATGGTACAACTTGTGATGCACTAAATGTGGTAACATGGTACAACTTGTGATACCAATAAGCATCCAAGGTGGGTTGTTTTTTAAATAATGTATATGGTACAACCCTTGATGCACAACGGACAAGTACTAAACGTATGAAATAAATCAGTTTTAGGAAGGGACGAATATTATATTGTTTTAGGAACGGACAAGTACTAAACGTATGAAATAAACCCTTGATGTCGTTTCAGTTTGTCGTTTTTATCATCGTATTAGACAATTGGTCAAAGATTTACTACAATGATAGATTTAAATTTATTTATTTATTATTTGCTACGTAACAAAACACTGTTTAAAAGTTATTTTGGTGTGTTGTTGAAATCATTTGAATACATACCCCTTGGTATAATATGGTTCCGACCATGGTTGGATTATCTGTTTTATGATGTGTTTTGGATGCATTTTAAAAGTGATTTTTTAATTTTATTTTAAATAATTTAAATCTAATAATTAATTGTAACAAAATTGGATTGTAGTAGCTAATGCCTAATATCGTTGAAGATGTTTTTGTTGCTTAAATTATAAAAGTCATAATAATCATTTTTTTTTTATTTATCATTTAGGTCAGGTAGATATGAATTTTTATTTGACCTTTTTACAAAAAGTTTAATTGCATCATGTATGAAATTGATCATCTATTTAATAGTTAATAGTCAATATATTGAATATAACTATAAAATTATTAACTTTAGTAGTTTAATGTTTCGAACAAAATGAATATAGTGTGTCCTTAACATGCTATGTTTGGAGTGGTCCACATAATTAGTTGATCTATATCTTATTGTTACGACTCATGAGTACACACACATAATTAACTAATGATGAAGCAAACTATACTATTGCATTTGAAGTTTGCGAAAGAGGTACAACATGTAGTTTCATTGAAGGCAAAATTGATCACGTCAAGCAACAAATAATTAAGAAGTACCACTAGGGATGACGCCCACAACTACTAGACCTCGGATGAGAAAGACATGGTGAGGACCTACCTAAACAACACGGGGGAACAATATGACTTCTAAATTAACAAAATGAAGAAAAAGATATTACAAATACAAAAAACAATATATGGGAAATCAAATATAATTTTTATATTTGTTGTTTTCGTAATTCATATTTCTTCATTTTTGTTATGTTAGAAGTCATCGTATTTCCCATTGTTATTTAGGTCATCGTCGTCTTTCCCTAGTCTAGTAGTTGGGAACGTTATCTCTAATGGCATTTTTCATATATTTTTTGTTTGAGTTGATCAATTTTACCTTTAAGTGAAACGACATGTTGTACTCGTTTCACATAGTTCGTGGCATTATCTCTAGTGGCTTTGGATCAATTTTGTACACCTCTACTTGAGGTGTAGAAACCCATGCATGGGGCTTAAACGGTGCTAGTTAGTTGAACCATGATTCTCTAAGTATTTTTTTTTTGAAATTTAGTAAAAAAAAAGCAGGCGGGCCTTCATAGGCCGGGACGGTTCCTTCTACACCAATCCTGCCATTAACTATGCTCGATCTAAAATAAGACTATTGGTCCGGATACGCACATCTACGTATTGAGATGCACAAAGAAATGGTTTGAAATTGGAAGCTAGTTTGATGTCTTTTACTAGGTCTCGTAAGAGCTTGAGTATTTAAGACTGTTTACTACAACAATAGAAGTCTCATATTCGGTCCTATAGTCTTTAATATGTTTCTTACTAGGTTTGGTAAGAGGTTGGGCATGATCCAGTTAGATTCAAACTGTTTGATATAACAAGTAGAAGTCTCATATTCGGTCTCATAGCCTCTTAGTACGTCTGATAAGAGGTTGTGTATGACTTAACCATGTTTTGACTCAATCAACAATTATTAAACATCCCCTAAGATCCGATCTGATCCGATTTAGAAACTGTTTCGATAGAAAATGGTCCGTTTTGGAGCCGAATTGACAGTTTATACCACTTTGATGATTCTACAATGGAACCGGTTTTGGTGAAATCAGTTTGGAAAACCGGATAGAAACCAGTTTTCAAATATAAAAACTAAATTTTAAATAGTAAATAAATAGTTTCTATTCATTATTTCTTCAACTTGTTGTTGATACAAGGTTTTGGTTTTCACCAATTGTACAAATCCTATATGCCCGAGAAACACTTTTCAAAAATCAAAAGTTGAAAATGTCGTTTTGAATCCTAGACGATCCTGAATATCCAAAAAACATGTTACATCATGGTAAAGACATATGTTTTTTTTATTGGTTTGTTTCTGATCAACCATGAAATCAAATTAACAAAAATACGAAAAATTGGCAAAAACATAAGGTTTTTTTTTTTTTTTCAAATAGAGTTTAACCTGAACCTTCAAATATTTTTGCTTAGCAATCAGTTTGGACTTATTCGATTTTAACTTTGTTAAATGTTAACCAAAACTAATATGGATCGGGAAGAAAGAATCTGGTTTCCGAACCCCTTGCATACACTAAGGCCCCGTTTGATAGACATATTTCCAGGTCCAAACAGATCTTTCTGGCTGAATGGACCGGAAATATTGTTTGATATGCACAGAAAAATTGGTCTTTCTCGGTAAGATATGTCTTTCCCAAAAAGCTCCAAAACCATATATTTCTGACTGAATAGGCTGGAAAGACAATTATGTACCAAACTCTGTCTCTTTCTTTCTTGCATTATTAATTTCTTTTAAATAATTTTTTTAATTTATTTTTTTATTGAATTATTATATATTAATAAATATTATTTTCAGTATATAGTATTTATGTATTAATTAATATTATTTTATTGGATTATTAACTTTTTTAAATAATTTTTTTTATTTCTTTTTATTGGATTAATTCTTTTTATTGGATTATTATATATTAAAAAATATTATTTATAAATATATATAATATTTATATATTAATAAATATTACTTTATTGAATTATTAATTTCTTTTAGTTAATATTTTTATTTCATTTTTATTGGTTAAGTTCTTATATTTTTTTACAACACTACCATCATCCTAATATATTTTGAAAAAATTCATCCATCCCACCACTATTGGATATAAACTGGGTCAAGAATCATATGTTGAGTTATAAAAAAAAATTAAATTGCTAGAAAGAATAACGACGTAACATTAACTTGAAAAAAAAACTAAAAACAACTTAATCGACATTCTATTTGGATTTTTAAATGATTATTGTGTGATTTTGATTTTGTATGACAATTTGTATGTTTTTATAATTATTCAGTAACTTCATCCATCACAGTAATAGAACAACAGAGTAATATTGTCATTTTTCATCATTCAGCATAATCAATCAGATGTACAATCAAACAACATGGTTTCTTACTTTCTTTCCCAGTCAGAAAACTTTTCCATACAGCACTTTTCCAGACAGCACTTTCTCGAACATAAACTATCAAACGGGACATACCACTTGTATACAAGCAATGGGATTAATTTGCTATGCCATGGACCAGGTCTAGTTAATTTTATTCTATTGGGCCTACGCCTCCCATAGTCCTTTTAAGGTTTTAACCTTGTATAGTTGTATAAGTGGATTGTGGATTAAGTGATCGACCCATAGTCCCTTTCACTAGGGATGTCAAAAAGTCTCGTGGGACCCCGAACCCGTGGGGCCCCGATCCCATATGGGGGATATTTGTCAAAAAAATTGGGGGCGGGGGCGGGGGCGGGGGTGGGTAGTCCCATCCCGAACCCCCAGTGGGGACCCCGTTAATATATTACTTATATTAATATATGTTAATTATAAAAATATAATAATTAATAACAATTATTTTGAACTTAAAAAATTCAATAAAATACCATGTTTTTAAGTTGTTAGTATAACGTCTTTAAGATGTTATAATATTTTTATTTTAAACGTGTAAAATTATGCTATAAATAACCATTTTTACCCAAAATAGCTTCTTTTAGCCCAAAAATAACTTCTTTTAGCCTAAAGAACACCTTCTTTCGCCCAAAAAAATAGTCAACCCAAACGGGGGCAGGGAAACGGGGGCGGGGGCGGGGGTGGGGAGGCTAGAGATTTCGGGGGCGGGGGAACAGGAAAATTTCGGGGGTGGGGGCGGGGGATGCAATCCCCGCCTCGTTTGCCCCCGTTGACATCCCTACCTTTCACACAGTATATACTATTTACTATATGTGACAACTATGAACACAAAATACACGTGAAATATTATGAAAAAGATGTTATTTAAACAAAAGTAAAAATCCCATTACACATAAAATTTGGGTAAAATCCGTCGTACTTACTGGACAACAAGTTAATTAGATACGCGATACAGCTAATTTACGTTTAACAAAGAGCTACATATATCAAATTATCAATTGAGAAAATGAAAATGAGAGTTATATATACAACAAATTTATGCATTTCAAGATCTACAATATATATATATATATATATATATAATATATATATATATATATATATATATAAAACAAAATGTAAACTTACAAACATAATCATAGGACTGTTCATTTGAACTAACCCAAAAAATCATCAATCAATCAATCAATCTCGTCTTCTTGCAAGTGGCACCACCTCTGCCAAAGGGGTCGAGAGTGGGGTCGGTAATGGAGACGTTCGACAATTCGGGCATGTGGGGTTCAACCGCAACCACGGATCAACACATTTAACATGAAAAAGGTGACCACAATCGGGAAGTTGTCTAAGAACATCACTCCCCTTATAATCACCCAAACAAATAGAACAACATGTTGAAAATCCTGAATCCCTTTTCTTGATCTTTGCATCTTTGTAAAGCATAGTGGGGTAACTCAAAAGTGTTTCATCATCAATACCCACATCAACCACGCAATGGGTTGAGTCAGGCTGACCCAGGGCTGCACCCAGACTATTTCTCTGCGCCCGGATTTGAGCTACTGACGGTGATGGTGAGGTTTGTGTGGTTCGGTTACAAAAGTAAGATGCTAATGTGATTGTTGTGATGAGTAAAAGCATCCCGACTGATATTCCGATCCCGTATCCGAATCCGCTGATGTTTTGTGACCCGAGAAACCCGCCGGAGTTGAGATCCGTGTTGTTCATCTTCTTGTTTTGGTGTTATGAGAAAATGGTATTGAATAGAGGGAATCAAGAAAGAGAAGAATGAAATGTAGGTCTTGGCCAGCCAAATTTGTGGGTGTAAACCGGTGAAATGGGTACTTGGTGGGGTTAAATTTTCATATTTGAAGTCAACTGCAACGTAAAGAGGGGATCAAATTGCAAGAGGAATTAAATAATGGGATTTTAAGTGTCAATTTTCAAACTTATATGAATGTTTAATAATATTAAATTGTGGAAGCTTAGGTTTAACATGTCAACGGCTTTATTTTTAAGATACAATGTTGAATGCTTGACAATTCACATATACGTTGATTATATATGTGGTATTCTTTAGGTATTAAAATATATTTATAATATATATTGATAATTAAATATATTTTTAAATAGTATTACCATTTATTTAAACTTTCTTTTGGCGTGGTCGTGTATGGTTGCATGGTGGAAATGCACGTTGGGAGCACCACGAAAAGAGGGGATTCTAGTGGTATTATTTATTTAAAATTATATAAACTATTAGATTGTATTAAATGCGGGTGTAAATTAAAGAAGGTCACGTTCATGAGGCAATCTTTGGTTTAAAGTCTTTTCATTCAACAACTATTAAAATTGTTTTTCTTTTTTATGTAAGATTATATATATATATATATATATATATATATATATATATATATATATATATATATATATATAGGGATAGGGAATATACATTACAGCCCCACCTAAGCTTAGGTACTAAACCTCTAAAATATGTCGTTTTAACTTAGTAATTATACTTGATTTGGTTTTCACTTGGTAAATATATCATCCCTGATAACATTTCTTCCCTCCATTATCGTTCTACCATCCTTGTTTAGTTTCCTCCGTTATCGTTTATTACTTCACCCTAGTGAACAATATTGTTTTCTACCGTCACGAAGGTCGAAGATAATCAATGTTCTTGTTTCCTTATCAAAACTATTGTGTAGATCATAAATCTACATCTTCAAGTGTTAATCGTGAATTCCCTAATCGCAATCTTTATATAGTAAAACAACGTATTTTCATGAGGTTTAGTACCTAATCTTAGGTGGGGCTGTAATGTATATTCAGTTTTCCATATATATATATATATATATATATATATATATTATATATATATATATATATATATATATATATATATATATATATATATATATATATTATTTTTTTAAAACACTTCAACAATCACGCAGTAAAGAATTGACGTCATTGTAATATTATTGAGGCTTTTAATTCTAATCCAAACTAAATCTAAGTAGATGAACAGATTTGAAGAAGTCGTTTTCATGCGTCAATTTTTTGGTGAGGGTTTGGTTTTTGTGCAGTTGACTCTAATGTGATGAAACCACGTTCTTGGTTTCTCAAAATTTTTAATAATTTTAATTTTGATAATACAAGAAAAAAAAGATCGTTAGACACAAATATCTACACTAAATAAACGAGGAAAAAAAACTATTGAGCCGGAGTTGTGGACTGAAAATTAGCCCTTTTTCTACATTTGAGCCAATAAAGGCCTTTTGATTCAAACGGCCCTTCACAAAGGAAATAGAGAAAACAAAAAAGACTTGTGGGCTGAAATTAATCATTATGGTTTTGTGATATTCCAATACAAATGTTCTATATCGGCATTTACATACATCAATGCTTATAACTACATCACTTGCTCCAGAATCATCGTGGCTATATGTCACTCAGATGTGTATTAATCAATTCATATTTGTAATCTATATGAAGGTCGTGCAGAATGCATATTTGTATAAAAACTACTTTGGTCACAAACACGAATAATGGATATGGACAGGGGTAGATTAGTATAATGGGTTGTTGGATTCAACTATAACCAAAATATGCTTAAAACATAACATTCTAAAGTCCTCTAAAGTTCCTTAATTTTTTCCAAAGTAAAATGATTTTAAAAAAAAACCTTGGATTCTCTAAAGCGTTGAATTTTTTTGAAAATATGTTAAGTCAAATGCACCTCCAGATTCTTTTAGACTTTTTAGAGATGGATAACGTGAGTATATATACTCGCAATACACTAAATTTTGAATCTCTTACGAATTTGAACAATCATATATGAATATCGTTTTTACTTCTTGTTTTTATAACCAAGACATTTAGTGTTTTCTTTTAGATTATATTGGGAGCTTATTTACAGTATAGACACATGGTCAAATAAAGTTTATGGAAAGTGAATTACACAATCCATCATTTATGTAGGATTTGATCAACAATTTCACCCTAATAATAAATAATGATAGTATTAGGCTAAACATGGATGATTTTCACTTTTCAAGGACATTACTCACAAACGAGGGCTATGAAGGCTAAATATCGTGGTATATGAGTAGCATCAGGGACGGTTCCACTATGGTGCCCATAGTGGCACCGGCAACCCCTTATTTTTTCGGATACAGTGTAAAAAAATTTGAATTTTTCGTTTTTTCTACATTTGTGCCACTACGTAAAAGGAAAAATGTGTCACCAACACCTACGTGCCACCGACAACACATACTACGAAATCCTGGGTCCGTCCTGAAAGAACCTCTTTCTAAACTTTCGTATTTCTGAAAGACTCAAACTTTCATACTTGACAATTGTTACTCCAAAACATGCTACATGCATATTTATAAAACAATATCTTACATTGATAAAGTGATTACAAAAGATTGGATACAAACCGATTATGTTTTAATATTTTACATAACTACCCAGGATATTGTAATTTTATACAAACATAAACTGAAATACAAAAGTAATAGTAAAAAAAAACTATTCTACATCTTCCGACAGTATATAACCATACTGGTTACTTATCTCCTGCAATTGTTAAACACTGAGATGGGTAAGCGGTGACGCTTAGTGAGTTCAGTAATAGATACAATATAATGTTATGCCATATATATATACTTCAATATGGCAGAAGCAAAGAGGAATAAGAAACAACAAAGGCATATGTGAATCATGTGACAAACTTTCAATATCAATCAATGATTTGATACAGAGATATACGATCAATAAAGCTTCGGCCCAAATGGCACAGAAGACATACACTTTCTGATTTAAACATTTCGGTAGATTTCAGGCTTATAGCCCTGTCTAACCATCTGTCAATGTCATAGAATAGAAGTCATTCTCTTACGGAGATATGTTATACATGGCCAGAGGCTACGTACCAGTACCACCGTGAATCTAAGCCCTTTCACTGATCACATGGTCAAATGTATAGCTTTGTTATCATAAATAGCAGAAATAAAAATAACACGGGAAAATAACCTGGAATGATATCATTGAAAAGCACATAGCACATATAACACATAACATACAATTGTTCCTATATATTAAACTCACCGTGAAATAACCGGGGGTTAAAATAGTAAATTGGGCAGCACTTCGGCTCTAAATATAACTTCCTTCGTTGGAAACCGGGAGATTTATTGAAAATCGGCCTCTGCGATGGTAGAGCTTCAAACCGAAAAGATAAATTTCTCGGGCTTCTCGGGAACTTCGGGGCGTGTTTCGGGCGTTGGAAATAATCCCGGGGCTTCGGGGGAAGTTGAAATAGCTTAAAAATGGGTTTAGGAGTGAAAAAGTGTGAATTTTCTAACATTATTCGGGAGGGTTCGCACCCTCCTATTTATAGGCTGAACTTCGGACCGAGGAGGGGGGGAGAAGACACGTGTCGCATGCGAGGTGGAGCCAGGCGTCGGAGCTCGGACGCAACACACGTCGGTGCGAAGGCTACTCATCAGCGAGGGTCTCCGGACGCGTCACGACTTCGAACACGCAGCAGGCTTCGATTGGACCTCCCTTCGGTCGTATCACAATCCGACATGCGGCATGCATGCGAGGTTTGTACGTGGCCAATTCCGAACCATGCATGCGAAATTCCTTGGATTTTGTGTTTTTCTCGATTTTTGAGCCAAAAACTTCTAAAATCTATAACTTTCGCATACGGGCTCCGTTTTTGACGTTCTTTATATGCACGCGTAGGTAAAATTATGATCTACAACTTTCGTTTAGACTTCGTCGGCTAATTTTGAATTTATTTTTAATATTATTATTTTTAACAGACCGGGACAGGAAAATCCGTTAAAAATTCATAACTTCTTCATCCGATGTCCGTTTTCATCTGTCTTTTTACCGTTGTACTACTATTGATGAGACATTCGATTCTCGTTTAGGTTGTGTCGGCTAAAAATAACTCGATCTAAAATTCGAGTTTTTAGCTGTCTACTGCTAAGCTGAAACTTAGAAAAATCATAACTTCCTCATACGAAGTCAGATTTGGGCGTTCTTTTTATCAAAATTCTCGGTTTAACAAATAGTACGACTTTCGTTTAGATTACTAAAGCTAAAAAGTAGTTTATCGAAAACTCATTTTTTACGTCATTCGGCGTCGTGCCGGTTTTGTCGCGGATCTTCGATTGGTCATAACTTCTTCGTTATAACTCGGATTTCGATGAGGTTCTCGCCTAAATGTTTCTAACGAGATTCTTTACAACTTTCAATAATAAAATTTTACTTATTTCAAATTTTATAATTTCGTTGAATTTCGATATTTGTCTTTTAATTGGAATCTCATAAGACTTCCAATATTTTCCGATTGATTCTAACCATAGTTTTACTTCATTTCTAGTAAAAACTATCCGTTAGAACTCAATGCTCATAATTATATAATATTTCATAATATTATAACACGATAACTGAACGTGTATGTTACACGTCCCTAAGTAGCATGTTCATATTTTATGTTCTTTATGTTTTCTTTTCAGACATATATACATGTATTGTTGATATTTGTATAGATTTACATATGTATGTCTTTTTGCTTACTTTTAGTTACTCTATCTTTTTTCTTTCATTTGCAAGTTCTCGTTTTGCTCATGTCAACGGTTTTCTTTGTGAATAGTCACTCTTCCGTCAATAGAGACATGTTTGTTGACATATCCATCCATTTT